CACCAGTGCTTGCTGCATGCACAAATGCGGCTACTAGTACTGCGCAACTGGGCGTGGCCCTGTTTGCGTGCACATGCGCAGGCATGCAGAAATTTGGAAGATGCTCTCCCCTCCGGGCCATGAGCCTGGAAAGATTGGAGAACTCTGCTCTACTGTACTCTATCCTGCCTACTCTATCCCTATCCCTATCCCTATCCCTATCTGCATTCCATTCCATTCCACCTTTATAGGTGATTACAAGTAGTCCTTGAGTTACAAACATTCATCTATTGACTGTTTGAAATTACAGTGGCAATGAAAAAAGTGACTTACAACTGGTCCTCACACTTGCAACCACTGCAGCAACCCCACAATTACATCATCAGAGTTTAAGCACTTGGCAACCAGTATGTATTAACGATGGTTGTAGCATCCTGGAGTCATGAGATCACCATTTGCGACCTTCATAATTGGCTTCTGACAAACAAAGTTAATAGGAAAATGTGGACAATTCACTTAATGATTACAATGATTCACTTAATCATGGCAAAAAAACCCTCAAAAAGTCAGGTGCGTTTCTCTTAACAATTGCCTTGCTTAACAACAGAAATTCTTGTCCTAATTGTGGCATAAGCCAGGGATTACCTGTATTCAGAGAAGACCATGCTCAAAAAGGCAGTTTATTAACCTGGAAAGTATGTGTCATCTGTTGCTTAATATACACATAGAGATATACATTTATTCAGATTGATCTCAAATGTTTCTGTTCCATAGAACCAGGTAAATGTCTTCTTTTATTTCTTCAAAATTATATGAAAAGGTACTATAGCAAACATTGTACAAATAACAATACATATTAGAGCTGGCTAATGTTTTGAAGACATAATTTCCCAGGTGGGGGGCAAAGGCATGAATCTCTACAGTGGCTTAATCCAAATTAATCTTGTCCTGTGAGAGATTCCTGGGAACAGATTCTGAGACAGTGAATATGGTGGCCACGACTCTGCAATTTTATTTACTTATATCCCACCTTTATTATTTTTAAAAATAACTCAAGGCAGTGAACGTATCCAACACTCCTTCCTCTCCTATTTTCTCTGCAACAGCAACCTTGTGAGGTGGGTTGGGCTGAGAGAGAGGGACTGGCCCAAAGTCACTCAGCTGGCTTTCATGCCTAAGGTGGGACTGGAACCTATGATCTCTTGCATTCTAGGGTGGTATCTTAACCACTAGGCCAGGGGTTCTCAACCTTGGCAACTTTAAGACTTGTGGACTTCAACTCCCAGAATTCCTCAGCCAACAAGCTGGCTGAGGAATTCTGGGAGTTGAAGTCCACAAGTCTTAAAGTTGCCAAGGTTGAGAACCCCTGCACTATGCCAAACTGACTCTCAATTGAAGCCTATCTCTTTTTAATGAATGCCCCATGTTGACAGCCCTGGATACAACACATACTTTCACAGGATTCAATCAGCAACTGCTTTTTGAAGTTCTTGAAAATCCTGCTTAAAACACCAATGACAATATCTAGCCACTTTGTCTTCTGTAGGCATCTTTTTCTATTGCTTTCAGTTTTTATCAAGATCTTTTCCAATAACTCTTGCCTTCACAATATGGCCTCAAAGTATTTAAACTTTAGCTTTATTATTACTGCCATCTGGTTTTACTTTGTCTGGCACTGAGTGATTTGTTCTTCCTGGTGTCCAAGGCATTCTCCACAATATTTTCTAGTACTACAATTCAAAGACATCAATCATTGTCTTTGTTCACTTTCTGATAATCTAGCTTTCACACCCATATGTTGCAACTGGGAGAACTCTGGCCTTGGCAATATTTATCCTCGCTGTCAATGGGAAGTCTCTGCAATATATTAGTTTTCCTACATCCATCATTGTCTTTTTCCCAAGTAATACCCCAAAGGTGCTTTTTCAAAAGGCAACTGGACTTTGTTTTTCTTGGAAGACGTTTTGCTTCTCATCCAAGAAGCTTCTTCAGTTCTGACACTTCTTGAGTGAGATGTGAAACATCTTCAAGGAAAAACAAAGTCCAGTTACCTTTTGAAAAATCACTTTGGGCTCATGGCCTGGATGACTGAAAATCTCCATAGATACTCCCAAGTAGTAGATATTTCTTCACTCATTGCCACCATCATCCCTATGACTGTTTGAGCCTAGGAAGAGAATGTCAATTACTATTTCAACCTCTTCTTTACCACTTTGTGGGGCATTGGTGTTGCCTCTGGACATAGACTGAGTTATTATTCTGTGCAGTTTTTGCCTTTTTGTCATCTTCAACACAAAAAGTCTCCCTGGATGCTTCTGTCCATCAAAATAGTGGCTCCTTTATGTATATATGTATTTGGACTTCTGTACTATTTCAATCAAATTTTGAGCAATTATAATCATACATACAGTAATATTAAGGTTAAAAACCACCTAAATACAAAAACTTTCAAGAATAATCTACAAAACAACATACAGGTAGTCCTCAACTTACAAACACAATTAAGCCCAATTTTGGGGGGGGGAAAGCAAGACCATTATTAAGTAATCTTTTTACCCTATTTTATGACCTTTCCTGCCACAGTTGTTAAGTGAATCTCTACAGATGTTAAATTAGTAACCCAGTTGTTAAGTGAATCTGGCTTTCCCATTGACTTTGCTTGTCAGAAGGCCGCAAAAGGTGATCACGTGACCCTGGGACACTGCAACTGTCATAAATACAAACCAGTTGCCAAGTGTCTGAATTTTGATCACGTGACCATGAGGATGCTGCAATGGTTGTAAGTGTGAAAAACAGTCATAAGTCACTTTTTTTAGTGCTGTTATAACTTTGAACAGTCACTAAAAGAATGGTTATAGGTAGAGGACTAACTCTAATTTGAAACCCTAGCCCCATATCTTAGTTTGTGGACACTTCTCCTAGCAATTTTAATTCTAGTTTCTACTTTTTCATTTCTCATGACCTGTTCTACATCAGAGTTTCTCAATTTTGTCCTCTTTAAGATGGGTGGACTTCAATTCCCATTGCTGGCTGGGGAATTCTGGGAATTGAAGTCCACCCATCTTAAAGAGGACAAGTTTCTATCTACATAGATACTACAGAAGGAAGGTGACTATATGCAACCTTGAAATATTCGTTTTCCATTTTAAACCATCTGATTATTAAGGGCCATGAGGTCATTGTTGATTCCTAATGATCACGTAGGTAGATTTTCTCAGGATAATCTATTCCTAACCTAGTCTTTCAATGGTACACTCTTCGTCACTGTTATATTCTGACTGTAGGTCAAAGTAATTGCTATGATTCAAGATTCATTTCCTGCTCATCATCCAAACTGTATAATAAGCAGTTGAACTGGTTTGTTATATCCATGTTTTTAAACACTATGCATAATTAGCTGTAATCCATCCAAAAGACTTAAAATGAATGAAAAATGGGCATACTTTTGAATTCCCTTGTTTGTTCTATGATCCATCAGATGCTAAGCAATGCTTAGCATCTGATGGATTTTTCCTTTTCTGAATTTTATTCTTGACAGTTCTCATTCCATGAAGTCTGTTTTGTAAAACCCTGAGGATTATTTTATAAGCATTTGCAATATGTGCAATTGTTTGATAATTTCAGCATTCTTTAACATTGCCCTGCCTATCATTAAATAAAGATCAGTAAAAATTCTTCTCATCATTAGCCCAAGTATTTATTCAAATACCCTTATATTATTACAAACACAATTTCTTTCTTTAGATAAAATGTAGGTTTAATGCAAAATCAGAACAAGCTCATAGAGTGGACTTATGAATAGATACACGGTAGGGAGAGAATAACCAATTGGGAGTTAGATTTAAATATTTTTTTCTTGAATCATAATAATTACTTTGACCTATTTACAGATGTATGCATTTTTAATATATTGTTTTGTGTCAAAATGAATATCTGAGGTCAGGTCTTATCACATCATTGGGGTGGGGGGTTATTAGTTTATTATTTTTATTTTTTATTATTTTTACTTCTTTTATATTGTGCTTTTATGTCTTGTAAGCCACCTTGAGTTGTCTTGTGTGAGTAGGCGGCAATATAAATTTTCTAAATAAAAATAAATAATTTACAAAGGCTATCCTTCACTATGTGTTAACTGGGGTGAGTCTCACTGAACTCAATGGAGTTTATTTCAGAGTAGATATATATTGCATGAAATTGTACAGTTAGAGAATTTTTGTCAGATGACACTCTCATTAATCCTCTTCATCTTGCACAATCTACCCCCAAAAGCCCCAACACACTGAAAATGAAATTCAAAAGAGTGCAGAACTTAATTTCTCTCATTAGTTAGGGTAGCTTCATCCCTGCTAATGTTCAAAAGTCCCTCAGGATCTGGTTATGTCACCAGGTTGGGGGAGATGGTGACATGTTAAGGCTGCTTATTGGGGATAATACTTAAATATATTTTAGATTTTTAATGCCACCTTTATTATTTTTATAAATAATTCAAGGAATCAAACATACCCAATACTCCTTCCTTCTCCTATTTTTTTCCCCCACACAACAACTCTGTGAGATAAATTGGGCGGAGAGAGAGTAACCGGCACAAAGTCACCCAGGCAGCTTTCATGCCTAAGGCAGGATTAGAACTCAGTCTCCTGGTGAATGGCCCAAAGTCACACAGTTGGTTTTCATGCTTAAGGCAGAACTAGAACTCAGTCCTTTAGTTTTTAGCCTGGTGTCTTAAACACTAGACCAAATTAGCTCTCTGAATATGGTAGATATGTGCTAATTATACTTTTCTGTTTATGGTTTGCATAATTTTAATGATTAAATTATTAACAATTTTATTTTCTATATTTTTATAATGATGTTTTTATATTGTGGTTTTACTTGATTGTTGAATGCTGTCCAGAGTTACTTATGGTGACATAGGTGGCTATATAAATTGGGTAAATATATTTTTAAGAAAGTAGCTGGTATTTACTGATGTTTGTCACTATGGTTGACAGCCTAATTTTCTTCACTTTCTTCTTGATTAGGAATTCCCTTTGGCGGTTATTAGAAGACCTCAATGCCACTGTGGCTTTGCAACAATTAATTTCCCACTGCATAATAGTTCTGACAGATCATTCTGCAGCAGTCTTGAAGATGTCAACAATAGGGCTGAAGTTTCAAATGCCGAAGACCATCGCTTTGTTTATCAAACTCCAGTCCAAGGTATAAGAGAGTCCGTTGACACTTATGTTGATTGTAGTCATATCATCTACCATTATATTAATATTTGTAGAGTAAATACACATACAGACAAACACCACAGGGATTGAGGAAGGAAGACAGAATTTTACTCTTTAAACAACATTCTAGAACAATGTTTCCCAAACTTTAGCCATTTTAAGATGTATGGACTTCAACTTCCAGAATACCTCAGCCAACATTTTTAAAATGTGTCCATTAAATAAGAAATGTGTCCATTAAATAAGAGTTGTGGTTAGAATGCAATATTGCAGCTAATTCATTGCTCACTGCCAACAGATCGATCCTGACTGGTTCAAGGTTGACTCAGCCTTCCATCCTTCTGAGGTCAGTAAAATTAGGACTCAGATTATTGGGGACAATAATGCTGACTCTGTAAACTGCTTAAAGAGGGCTAGAAAGCACTATGAAGCAGTGTATAATACTAAGTGCTATTGCTATTGCCATTCTGGGATTTGAAGTCCACACATTTTAAAATGGCTAAGGTTGGGAAGCACTGGTGTAGATTTACACTTCCATATTTCAACTTCCAGAATTATCACCAATGGTCATCCTGGCTGGATAAGTCTGTAAAGTAAAGTCCAAACATCTGAAAATTGCCTACTTTTTGTCATTTCCCCCTGCAGGGGCAGGTGTACACAAAGGATGGAGCAAAGGGTGAAACACAAGTTTCATATATATTTTTACAATGCAAATTATAAAGGTGGATCTTGCGTTGTGTACATCACCACACACATTTCATTGTGTTCACCTCATGGTTAGAATAGTTTGTTTCTAGTGGCCCTCTCCTGGTTTTTTAGTGTAATTTAACATACCAGTAAAAGTATCCAAGGGCCTATATGGTAAGGTGGGGTGAGATAGAATTCAGATTGATGTGGTGTAGCAGTTAGTATTGTCAGAAGAATAATTTGGGGTTCCAACTTGAACCGGGGCTATGGAAGAATAAATAAAAATGAGATCCAGACTGCTGTGAGGAAAGAATAAATATTTATTTTTAAAAGCAAAGAGTTTTCCTTTAGAGGCAGCTGCAGAGAAATGGGATATATAGCAACATACTTTTATAGGGGAAGTTTTTTTGGTGTGGAAGTGTCTACATGCTGACACTTGAGGGGCATGTGTGCAGGTATGTTACTGACGTTTATACTTGTGAATATGCAGTTCCACTGGGAGACTTAATTAACTGTATTTGCAGACCTTATCTTTTGATATATGGATCAGATTTGGGTAACTTAATTGGGGGTTTGAAGAAGTTTGAATAAAAGATTTTCCCTGTTTGTTATTTTTACTTGATTAACTTAGTTTCAGTTTGATTGTCAATTATCTAGTAGAGATGCTGATTCTTAGTCCATTGTGAATTCTGTAAATGTTTTAAAGGAAGATGGAAACAGTATTGAAGAATAAAATATATTTTGATATAAAACTTCTCACAGTATGCTGAATTGGCACCCAGTTTCAAATCTAACATAATAATAATGATGATGATGATGATGAAGATGATGATGATGGAAGGGACTTTGGAGGTCATCTAGACCAACCCCCTGCTCAGGCAAGAAACCCAGTGGTGGGATTCAAATATGTAAACAACCAGTTCTCTGTATGGATGCCCCTTCCGGAAGTCCATTTTGGGACTGGGCAACAAAAAATTAGCTACCAGTTCTGCCGAAGTGGTGCAAACCGTCTGAATCCCACCACTGAGGAATCCCTATACCAGGGCTGTCAAACTCAATTTCATTGAGGACCGCATCAGCATTGCGGTTACCCTGGGGGGGTAGGTGTGGCCAAGTGTGTGGCCTTTAGGGTGGGTGTGGATGGAGTGGGTGTGGCCTACTGGATGGGCGTGGCCAGCTCTACATCATTCACATCAAGGGTGCCTGTGGGGGCCTGGGCAGGAGTAGGACAGATCTGAGGGTCTCTGGCAGAAGGGGGTGGGACCAGGGCAAGTGCCAAGGCATGGCCCAGTGGAGGAGCCTCACTGTTCCTTTCAGGCCATGCCGGGGGGGGGCTGGATAGTAGTGTGGGCTGCTGGGAGTCCTGGACAGCAGAGGTCAAATGCCCACCTGGCCCTTGAGCACCTGTGGCATCAAGCCGAGCCCACTTCCCCAAGGGGGCACCCAGCTGCACTTACCTCCTCCTCAAGGTGCTGCTGCTGTGCTTGCTCTCTTTACCCAGGTTGCTCATGATGGGTACAAGGGCAAAGTCAGAGGGAGGCCCATTCCCTCTCCATGGGAGGAGACCCGGCTTTGTTTTGAAAGCTTCCTTAGCAATAGGATGGGAGACCCCCAGGATAGGCCAGGAGGAGGGTGCAAGGGGATGGTGAAAGGACAGCAGGGCAAGACTAAAGCAGAATTTCCCTCAGACCCTCCCTCTCCTTCTTTCCTTCCTAAGTACAGAGTGGTGGGAAAATATTTGATATGAGGGAGGGAGAAAAACAGACAAGAAACGCAGCTGGGGAGGTGTCACCTTTCATGAGGAATGAAGAAATGCACCATCACCTGGAAGTGGCCAGCACATGGCCCTCACCTACTTCACATATCTGGCTTGGTGGGCTCTGGGGGAGGGGATGCCATGAGCAGTGTGAGAGTCAACATTACCTGCACAATGCCACCCAGCCCCCAGCCTGCCTGGTTTCAGCAGGCAGCCGGGCGCTCTCCTCACAGCGCCAAGAGGTTGAGCCGGGTTGCTGCCTGCTGAAACTGGGCAGGCTGGGGGCTAGGTAGCATTGTACTTCTCATCAGATTCGCACCACCCGGCTCAGCTCTCGGCGCTGTGAGGAGAACGCCCCACTGCCTACCGAAGCCCCTCCCCCAGAGCCCATCAAGCCGGATATGTGAAGTAGGCGAGGGCCATTTTCTGGCCACTTCCAGGCGATGGTGCATTTCTTCATTCCTCACAAAGGGTGACACCTCCCCAGCATGCACCCAGGGGGTCAGGCCGATGTGGCAGGGGTTGGTTCCTTGCTGTTTCCAGACGGCCTTGTGGAGCTAAGACTGAATGCATTTCAGCATAGATGGCCACCACAAAATTGTACATTGGCTCCCAGCTGGCCTGGGCCAGGGCCAAGGTAGCGGGGGCCGTTCCCTCACTGTTTCCAGGATGGCTTTGCGGGCCACATGAAACCATTTCGTGGGCCGCATCCGGCCCCTGGGCCTTTTGTTTGACATGTCTGCCCTATACCATTTCATACAAAGGGACTCTTCTTAAAAACTTCCAGTGTTGGAGCATTCACAGCTTCTGGAGGCAGGTTGTTCCACTGATTAATTGTTCTAACTGTCAGGAAATTTCTCCTTAGTTCTAGGTTGCTTCTCTCTTTGGTTAGTTTCCATCTGTTGCTTCTTGTCCCGCCTTCAGGTGCTTTGGAGAACAACTTGACTCCTTCTTCTTTGTGGCAACCCCTGAGATATTGGAACACTGCTATCATGTCCCCCCTTGTCCTTCTCTTTGTTAAATTAGACATACCCAATTCCAGCAACCGTTCGTTATATGTTTTAGCCACCAGTCCCCTAATCATCTTTGTTGCTCTTCTCTGTACTCTTTCTATAATCTCTGTACTCTTTCTAGAGTACAGACATGTGATAGAGAAAGGTCAAATTAGATGACTTTAGTGTAATCATCTTTGTGAAATTGTGGTGGAATCTAGCATTGAGGGGAGAGAGGAATGTAACAGTTGAATCCCTTGTGGGGAAGAAGAGGCTGAAGGGAGATCCTCCCTAAAACTTAGCAGTATTTATCTAGTAGTTATGCAGTGTGTACTTTAGTCTGCCAAGATTCCTATCTATAGGTGAGCAGCAATGACATATCACTTTGATCAGTTCATTTTGTCATTTTTTATTCCTTGTGCCTGACAATTATGGGCTTAATGTTGAAGAAGAAAAGGTTTTGTTTTTTTTACTATGACAAACTTCCTGAGAAAAGGCAGAGTATAAATCTGATAAGTAAATAAACTCTCATCCTATGGTCTGTTCTGTTCTCCTATGCTTTTGATGCTTTTTAGAAGGACTTACAGTTTTTTTTAACTGCTTTTTTTTTCTGGTTGAGCTGCATTCCTTTCTTGATTTCAGAACTGCTGATCAGTTCCCCTTGAAACTGTCTTATCAATGTTCATCTTCTTTAATGTTATCTGGAAGTCATTTGCTGTGAAAGATAAACCATAGTCTGTAGGTCTGTGTCCCTGTGTGTCCAAGTGTGAACATGTTCATCTATAAAAAGATCTTCAACTGCTTTTGCTAAAAGAAAAGGGAGATTTTCAAACTTCAGCTTTCCCATTGTTATGTCAGCTGTCCACCCTTGGGGGGAAAATGATTGATTGATTTATTAAATTTATATGCCATCCTTCTTGCTATCATGTGTCTCTGGGTGATTCAAATAGAATAAAAATTACAGCGAAAGAAAGAAAAAGAAAGAAAGAAAAGAAAGAAAGAAAGAAAGAAAGAAAGAAAGAAAGAAAGAAAGAAAGAAAGCCAAGTCCCTTGAAGAAAGATAAGCTATAAATTTACTAAATTGTAAAAGATATAAATAAATGCCAACATTTAAAAAATAAGCAATACCTGCTATATAGTCCAACTGGCTTCACACAATACATTTAACCTGGCTTCATGCCACATAACTGCTCTCTTTACATAGCATGCTACACCCCAAAAAAACAAATCACAGTATAACATATTGGCCTGGTTAACCCAACATTTCAAGACAGCAGTTGGGCTCCACAACATGCTGATCAACAGATTACTTAGTTTCATGAGCTTAGCCTATAAAAGGAATGTTTCTCAACCCATAACTAAAAATAAACTCACATAAAATTAAGCCAGGTTTTATTAATCCTGGTTCTTTGAGCAAGTTTTGACAGGCTGGGTTCACTAATAATAATATACCACAATAGGCAGATAGACACATTTTTAGCTAAAGAACAATGAGCTACTTTATAGCTTAGTCTTTATGAGCTAGGTCTCCCTGATGGAGACAGTTTCAGCATGGTTTCTGAGGAACCTCTTGTGATAAAGAAAAAGACAGGTTGGATTGTCTATTTATTTTATTTCTTTTAATTTATCACATTGTCATGATACTATGATACTAAACTATGATATTAAAATGATCTCTGATACAAATATATAACTTCCAACATTTGTTAAGCCATTTTGTCATATCCTCTCTTGCCTCTCCTCCCTTAGGAATGCTTATATGACCTAGAATCTCGTATCCAAAACTGACTCACGTTTTTAAAAGAATATTGACAATCTGGATCAAATCCAGAACAGGGCAACCAAGATAATAAGGGTCTGGAAGAAAAATGAGAAATAGCTGAAGGCATTGTGTATCTTTAATATGGAGAAGAGAAAGCTAGAGGGAGACCTGATAGCTGCCTTTTGTCAAGCATGGGGGAAATCAAGAAATTCAGGCAGTTCAGTTCAGACAGAGTATAAAGATAAAGTATTGCAAGTTTAAGCTGTCCACAAGAATCTGAGCTACTAATGGTCAAAGGAAATGAGTGGGAATTAAAGTATTCGAGGTGGGATGGACTTAGATCTCTTGTGGGCACGCAGGGACTCATGACTGATGATGCATTTGACCCCTCCCTCAGGATCAGGTTGGATTAGAAAACCTTCAAGGTCCTTTCCAACTCTGTTATTCTGTTATTCTATGACAATATTAGCAAAAAAGCTACTTAATAAGTAATGGGAGAAGCAGTTTTTATTTGACTGTGGTCAGATATGTTATTTATGTTTGTTTTCAGATACCCGTTGTATTGACCGGAATTTTCTCCCAACCAAATCAAAAGCCCTTGTTGCTTTGTCGAGCTTCCCAGGAGCTGGGAATACATGGCTTCGCCATTTAATAGAGCATGCCACAGGAATCTACACAGGGAGCTATTACTTTGATGGAACTCTGTATAATAAAGGTATGTGCTGACTCTTCCCTAGATTACATTTCTAAAAGTAGCTTGGCCTAAGTCAAATTGGATCAAGCTGTGGATTAAAAGCAGCCAATGTTTTGGAGGTCAGTGGACAACCTACAACTTTGGAGGCACATGGTAGGTGGTTTTACAAAATAGCTGCCACAGTGGTTGTTTCCCATCCCCAAATATCTTTTAAGGGGTAAGACCACTTTTCATTATCTCCTCTACATTCGCACATGGTCTCTATCATCTCAGCTTTCTTTTGGTTTGCATGATGCAGTTTATCTCAATCTAGACAACTGCTACTGCCTTCTAGATCTTTTGAGACTATAACTACTAGAATTCCAAGCAAAATGGATGTCACGATAACCATGTGCCCAATTACATTAGCTAAGATGTTCTAAAGTCCTATTATATATCTATGGTGGATGTGTATATTTTGGAAATTATTTGAAAGACTGTTTCTGAATGCATGGAACCAAAAGTTTCCATTTGAAACAGCCCCTTCTTTTTTCAGATTCCTGCATGATCCTGAAGAATGTCAGATGCTAAAAATTGCTACAGCTAGCTCATAAAAGACACAGCTATTATGATTTTGACCTTAAAATCTGACTACATCTTTTATCTGAGCCTGGAGTAAGAATGGCTGTATTAATGAATCATATTAAAAACATGATTGCTTTTATGTGGCCTGGTATGAGATGCATAGCAAATAATTTTAATAACTAAGCTAAGCTAAGCTAAGCTAAACTAAGCTAAGCTAAACTAAACTAAACTAAACTAAACTAAATTAAACTAAAGACATGGTTGCTTTTAGGAACTGACTAATTAAAGTAGTGAGGTTTCCAGTTTGAAGAGCTGTACCCTTGCACTCTGCTCATTCTGAAAAACCTCTTTCAAATCATCATTGGACCAAAGCTAGGGCTGTGTATTCTCAATGTGATCACCCCTCTCTTTAGTTCCAGTTTTGGAGCTTACATTTATTTAATTCATAATTTACCATCATAAGCTTATATTGCTAAATAGTACTCACCAATTATACTATGCAAGCATATAATAAGAACCTATGAAGATATTTAAATATCAATTCCAGGTGCAATTCAAGGTGTTGGTTATTACCTTTAAAGCCCTGCAGGGCATTGGGTCCAGGTTACTTGAGGAACTATCTCAATCCGATGGGACTGGCCTGGCAGAGGAGGCATATTGCGAATCCTGTCAGCCAAGGAATTTTGGCTGGTGGGATCCAGGAAAAGAGCCTTCTCTGTCATGGTTCCTTCCCTGAGGTTAGATTGGTTCTCATTCAACTGACCTTCCATAAAGTCCTTAAGACCTGGCTCTGCCAGCTAGCTTGGGACCTCAATGGGGGAGTATCACACTGGAGGTGGTTGATTAATTAACAACCAATCCCACCTCCCCCTCTCCCCCCAAATCTGGCTTGCTCCTTCCCTGTCTTGTAACTAACAATTTGACTTTGATGATGTTTTCATTTTATTGTATCAGAAATATTTATCTTTGGTGATTTAAATATCTTTATGCTGTAACCCAGCCACACGATGGGCAGCAAATAAATGTAATAAATAAATAAATTCAGAATGAAAATTAATTTAAATCATGGACAATTAAAAACACACCACTTTTAATAACCAAGCTCTTAATGGCTATTTTTAATGTCAACACAGACTTCACTTTACTCAATGAATGGAAACTCGGATAACTATAGAAAAGACTTGACTTGGGTTACCACCTGATGAGAGTTATGTAATTTGTAGGTGAACTTTTCCAGATGATGTCAATGAATGGGGAGGAATAATAGAAAAATAAGTATTTTCTTCTGTAACATATATCCAAGAATTTTTAAGACTTTGAAAATAGTAACCCCAGTCTTTACATCCTGCCCAGGTTTCAAAGGAGAAAAGGACCACTGGAGAAGCAGAAGAACTATTTGTGTCAAAACACATGAAAGTGGCAGAAAGGAAATTGAAATGTTTGATGCAGCCATCTTACTGATACGCAACCCGTACAAATCGCTGGTGGCGGAATTCAACCGGAAGTGTGCTGGCCATCTTGGATATGCCACAGATCAGAACTGGAAAAGTAAAGGTAACTAGGGTAGCTAGTTCTCTTGTGATCATTTTGGCCCTGGGAATATGTCTTCCTACCATGGAAGGATTGGGGTCAGTTTGGGATGGCGACAGAGTAGAGTTAGTTAGAATCACTGCCAAATAGACCCATAGCATCTCTCAGCAACTTCCCCAGATGATTAATTCATTCTGGGACAAGAATGTAAAAGGTTTCAAAGGGAGTGAGTAGCAGTTATTTTCTTGCCCACAAATAAATTGGGAGCTGCTATCATTTTAAACATAGATTGGACCTCATTGAATCCTTCCTATGACTAACCTTGAAGCAAACCTTTCCAGACATGTGAGGCTACTGCAGAAAAGACCCTTTCTCTTATGTTAGCCATCTGAACAGCTTTATTTCAAATGTTATTTCTAATCTTCTATGACTGTTCTATGGTTACCTACTGTAGGAGAGCAGGCAGAGCCTGGGGCAGAATCAAGTGAGTAATCAGCCTAGAATCATTATGTTCCCGCAAATGCTCCAAGTCCAGCTCCCCCCCCCATGAATTCTGTTGACTCTTATCTAGTGCCAATTTAGAGCTGACCATTAATTGACTAGATTCAAGAAGGTGCAAGAGATTTTTTTTCCTGCACAGTGCTCCCAAAAGCCACTTATGCAGACATATAAAACATCTTTATGGTATTTCTCGCCCCACAGAATGGCCTGATTTTGTAAACAGCTATGCTTCCTGGTGGGCCTCTCATGTGCTCGACTGGCTTAAATACGGCAAGCGTCTCCTCGTGGTTCATTACGAAGACTTAGAAGAAGCCCTTCTTCCCAAGCTGAGGGAAATGGTTGACTTTCTGAACATCACAGTGACTTACGATCGACTCCTCTGTGTTGAAAATAACCGAGACGGGAATTTCAAGCGGTCGGGAGCCAAGCAGAAGGAGTTTGAACCCTTCACAAAGGAAATGAAAGAAGTGATAGATCAGCTTATTGTGATAGTGGATAAAGCCCTACGTGAAAGGAACTTTACAGGGCTGCCAAAAATGTATTTGCGCAGATGATGCCCTGCAGCCAGCTTGCTGCATTGTTAAGGAAAGACCGAATAATGAAATTAAAGAAAAGGCCAGGATTTTATAGCATTTAAAAGCAAGATTTGCACAGAGTCTGCTGATGAATGCAAATTCTTAAGACTTGGACAGTCTTCAGGGTACTAAGTGCTATGAAAGGCAAGCAATGAAGGATGGAAATTAGGTTATAAACCGAGGCAAAAGCCATTAGCATCTCTGCCTGTGTGTGTCCTTTTCTCTATAAATGGCTACAAATTTTAACATTTTTGTGCACTGCTAATTCTGGGAAATGTGGCTGGGGGCGGGAAGCAACAGTGTCTCTTATCCTTACTGTCTACTAGCAATATTTTCTCAAGAGTATCAAACATTTTTATAGACGTTTTTGGCAATTCAAATGTGTATTTTTCCCCTGGGGTTTTGGTTCATTGGTTCTTTTGTTTCAAACTCATCCTGACAAATATTTTTAGTGAAGCAAGTTAATGGGAAAAAAAAATGTCTTTGTCTTTTTTTCCGCCATTTCTTAAAGTATTTTTAAAAGTTTTCTTGTCAACTGGGATATGATACATGAAGATATTTCAGTGCTTCTTGCTATTTCTTATTTACAGGAGAATCCTGTATGTTTGTATTTAGCTGTAAGTCTTGACAACTATAATGAGATTTATTCCCAGGTAAGTGTGTTGGTGATTATAGGTTTAGGAATGAAATTAATTTGGTGGAAATTATTTTCATAAACTTATTTCTTTAATTGGCTTATAACAACAACAACAATTCCAGAAACATTGCAAACACAATGGCTTTCTGGTCCTTAAATAATTAAATAAGTGGAGTGCATCCATTTTAAGAGATGTGGATCGTGACACTGAATAAGATATATATAAAGACTTTTGAATACCCACCCTGGACTCGCTAATCCATAACCCTGTGGCTCTATGAAAAGCTATCCGGGCAGTTAACCTTTCTTGTCATTCAATAACAGAGACAGTGTTTCACTATCTAACCTTTATTCAGTGCTGCAAGATCCAGTAAAATGTAAAAAAAATAAGCAATAGTATGTGATTACAACATGAATAACAAATAGGTGTCATGCTCCATAAAAGAGACGACGTGTTCCTAGCTATAACATGGTCTGTTTTCTGTCTAGGCTAAAAATATAACTGCCCCTACACCACTTAAGACCTAAACTGAATAAAGGTGTGTAAGGATATGCTGCTTACCTGCAATGCCCCCAGATTGGTCGAGATTGCAGCTGAAAACTGAGTGGATTCTCTGAATGGAAGATGGAGGCTGGAATGACCTCACTTCCCTTCTCTTTCTCATCAATGCTTGTAACAGGAAATAGGAAAAGGGAAGTAAGTAAGAATCTCTAAACACTTCCTTATGAAGGGAACATGCTGTCCCTACTTTGCGCAGCAAGGTTGAGGTTGCCAAACTTACCTATAAGCTAGCTAAATAGAAAGAAATTAACCTTATCCTGCCAGAGCGGCCAAAGCCTTGGGGACAAAACAATACCAAAGAGGTCAAGCTAAAGACTAGGCCCAATTCTATTCCAAGATCAATCAAGGATAGTTAAGTACTGCCAATTGCTTAGGCTCTAAGTTCTACATTGAGAAACAGCAGAGAAATGAAACGCATAGGATACAAATATTAAGATGTACCTAACTGACAATGGCCATTTGCAAAACAGAACATGAAAAATCTTTGTCGTAAGCCACCTAAACCATACTGTCAAGATAATCAGAAGAAGATATTCAACAAAAATTAGGAAGGATTTATTTTCACTATTTAAAATGTGGTTCTAACAGCAACAAAAAGACAGTGCTTATGGAAACCAATAATCTAAAATAGAGTTGAATTTTCAACTCAGATCTTACAGTTTTCCCCTGTGTTGCCATAAAGGTTTAGGGAATCTTTAATTACAAAGCCATCAATAAGATGTATGGACTTCAACTCCCAGAATTCCCCAGCCAGCATAAACAATACACTGTTATAAACTGTCTATAATTTTGATCCTTATTAGATCTAGGAAAGAAAGCTTCAATATTTTTGAACAAGGTGCTTTGAATAGCAAAGGCAACATGATTCTTCCTGAAGATGTGAAAATGTAACACAATTTATCTCAGGTTTTTTGCATCCACCATCCAGCCTGATCTAGCAGTTCAAAGGCTTATGCATTTGAATAGTACATTAAAGAGACATATCCTACAACTGTTAGAACTGCTGGAGGGATATGGATCCAAATGGACGCTTTACACTGGTTCTGGAAACAGGTGTGAACTGAGATGCTTCTGTTGTTTTATGAAGTAGTTTCAAGAGCTGCCATATCTGGATTACAAACAAGAAAATATCTGAGTGACTGCTAGGTGGCAAAATAGGGTATTCTGTATCCCCTTTCTATCATCAAGTGGTCACCATGATTTTTGCTGCAAAGATGGGGATCTCTACCCTTTATGGCTTAACATTACAGGTAGTCCTCAACCTATGTGTCGTGGTTCCGATGGATGAAACCCATCAAAAGAACTTCAAGGGAAAAATTCTTCCTTAAAGAACATTTTATTCAGGAAACAAAGTATTGGCACTACATAGTTGAACCCAAAAACTAAATTCCCTTCCCCCAGATACAAAATAACAAAGTGCAATTCCCACCCACAATAAGCTTTCATAAATCACATTCTCCAATTAGCCTAGAACGCGGGCTTTCTCCCCAGCTCCTCAGCCCGCCAAAACGTTATCAGCTTGTCCTTGGATTCCCACAAAGCAATGTTATTATCATGGCTAGCTGAGCTCGAACTTTCATCCCAACCCCACCTTCTTCACCTGAATTCTAAATACCAGAAAAAGCATGTCAAAAGGAAAGGCAAAATGGCTGCAATTTTCATCATTTGTCAGAGCGGGAACATCCAATGTTTACAGCATTGACACTATGATCATAGTGGAGCCTGCCCATTATAGTCATAAGTTGTGATGGTCATAAAGTGGGTCAACATATGATTGACCCAATTTTACAGCCTTTTTTGTGATGGTTGCCAAACAAATACCACTGTCATTAAGTGAACCCATTGTTCACTGTGAATTATTTTTGCTGAAAACTGGAATTAAACACCGGTTTTCAGCAAAAATGTTGTAAATCACAGTCACATACATGGTATGATGCAAATGGCCATAAATGTGGACCGTTTGTCAAGTATGCAAAATTTATTATTTATTTATGAGATTTATATACCGCTTTAAGTGCAAGCACTCTCTAAGCGGTGTACACCAGTAAGCAATGTATACATATGTTTACATTGCCCCCAACAATCTGGGTCCTCATTTTACCTACCCCGGAAGGATGGAAGGCTGAGTCAACCTTGAGCCGGTGAGATTTGAACCGCTGACCTGCTGAACACAGTCAGCTAAAGTGGCCTGCAGTACTGCACTCTAACTGCTGCGCCACCTCGGCAGTCACATGAGCAGGGGGTTGGACTAGAAGACCTCCAACCTTCCTTCCAAGTCTGTTATTTTGTATTCTATGTTCAGTGTACCTTAATGTTAAGCAAGGATGGTTCTGGCAAATGTCTAGATTTGGGCTAGAAGACCTCCAAGGTCCTTTCCATCCCTATTATTCTACATTCTATGTTCTAGATAAATAAAATATCTAGGGTAGATGCTGGAGACAGAGCCTTTACCAACAGCTCCTTCAGCTCTTGCAGTGGTTGAATCTGTTAATATTTTCAACCAGTTTCTAAGTCAATCAATCCATTTATGAAGGTCACGGGCCTACAGAAATTTCCCAGCACCAAGGTGCCAAAATTAAAAGCATGAATCTCAGTATAACCAAATTACCCAGCAGACACTGGCAAATAAAATAATCAGCCAGCTCAATGACCCAGGATAAAACTTAGCCCGCCGCATGCTTTTTCGTGCAGAAGACTGAAACTTAGCGATTGCTTTGATAATACTTGTCTTTGTTTTCCACAAAAAGAAGCATTAGCAACCATTGCAAGCCATCTGTCAGGGCATTTTGCCGTGTCAGAGGCTAGAAATCTTACCCACTTTTCTACTTAAACAAAGAAATACAAAAGAGAAAAGAGCAGACTTAATTATTCCGCTAGCCTATCTTTTTTATTCATCTTTGCTGTGTTAATCAATTTCTTTAAAGACTGTGCTGTCAAATCACGAACTGTCCAACACGTCTCCAGTAACAACAGCACTCAAAAGACTCAAATCCGTGCCCCAATCAATTCTCACTCAGTGTGATGGGAAAGAATTGGCTTTAGAAACACTTTCAAAAGGAGAAGATTCCAGAGAAATTAGGAGGTGGGGGTGGCATGTGGTGCCATTGAAGTTAACTTAGGGACTACAGCCAAGAGACTTGGTGAGTGACTTCCTGGATTTCATTGCAAATCGATTTCCCCTACTTTTTGACATTTCCCTTCATTCCCACAGAAAGACCTTAAATGGGAAGGGAAACTCCTTCTCAAGTTCCCCTGAGATCTGGCTAGTCTCCTCTGTGCCTAAGTCTTGTTCAGTCCAGCGACTGTCCCGACCGCAGTTGTGAATCCTTCAAAAAATTGTGAATCACCTCCCTGTAGCAGGAATGCTCATTAAAGGATATGCTTTCTACTATACAAGATTGATTGATTTGTTCAATGTGAAGACAAAGAAAGGCAATAAAGACTTATTGGCTGAATTATCTTCCACCTTTCTCTAATGCTAAGAATAATGTTTGCTTTTTTAAAAAAGTTTGATTTCTGTCACATTCATTTCAATGCTTCTTTTATGCCTCTTTTTAATCCCAACCTAGGTTAAAATCAGCTTTTAGATTTGGAGTATATTTTTTCCATGAAGGATAAATATGGAGGAGAAAACACATCTCTCTCTCTCCCTCTCCCTCTCTCTCTCTCTCTCTCTCTCACACACACACACACACACACACACACACACACATACACACACACACACACACCTATCTATCAATCCATCCATCCATCCATCCATCCATCCATCCATCCATCCATCCATCCATCCATCCATCTATCCATCCATCCATCGATGCAATCATCTAGTTTCTACTATAGTCTGAGAAATGTATCCTCTGAATGTACATATATTCATTATATTTAACAGTAATGAAGAAAGGATCTCTAGATTATTTGTGTATTTATTTAATATGGCTTCCCATCTCAAATTTATGATACTGAGAGGCTACCCTTATACAAAAACACATGACAATAAAAATAATAGAAACATAAACAGCAGCTGAGCTAAAAAAAATCTGCACAATCATAAAAATCAAAGCAGAAACATATTCCATACCCCAAGTGCGCAGGTTTGTGGAGAAGCATAGTAGAGTAGAGAAACAAGTACTTCTTTCATAGAGGAAAAACACGAGGCAGATTTCACTGTTAATTAAAACTTGTCATCTGTGAAAAAACTCCTCTTTTTTCTCTCTCTCTTGTGTCCCTGGAATGCTTGAGAATTTCTTCTGGCAGTGTTTTGAATTTATGTTATGGCTTTCAGGCAGAATTTATCTATTAAATTTATTTGCTGCCCATCTCACTGTGTGGATACTCTGGATAGCTTACAACAACAACAAAAAAAAAAACAGGAAAAAAGTGATAAAAAATGTAAACATAGCAATAGCAAAGGAATAATAATACAATAAAAATAAACAATGGGAGTCAATAATACAAAATTAAAAAGATGGTCACAGGTGGAGCAGGAAGCGGGGGGGGGGGGGAGAAGGTTGGGCCAGTTAATTAATTCAACGAAATATGCTACTTCTAATTTTCTGTTGCATGCCTTTCCATATATACTTGTTTGTTACTTTATTTAATTAGCTATCTGATCATAGGGTATGATTACGGTACCACATAATATGAAACAATTTAAAATAAAACAATACAGCTTCCCATTGTACAATACAATTCCCATTGCTAAGCGAGGGGGTTGTTAAGAGAGTCATATCCAATTTTATGACATTTTTGCCACAGTAGCTAAGTGGATGGCTAAAACTTTTAAGTGAATCGTGTGGTCTTTAAATCAGTTGGCTTCCCTAGCTGACTTTGTTCATCAGAAGCTGGCTGAAAAGGTCCCACGATGCTGCAACTGTTGTAAATAAGGGTGAAGGCTCATTCT